GGCTTTATAGGTCAAAACCAGCACTTTGAATTGTGCCCGGAAGCTGATCGGCAGCCAGTGGAGCTGGCGTAATTACCTAGGGCCGCCTCTGCCCATGAGGTATCTTCCAATTCTATGATTCTGTGATTCAATGAAAGCCTTCGACAACCCCCTGATCTTTGTTTGTAAACCTCACCTTTATAATGCTACCCACCCACACCACCCCCAATTTTAATGCACACACAATATCGAAGCAGGATGTCCTTGCAATGCACTAGGAATGATGCTCTTCCATTGTCGATTTTCCTGGACGTATGTGCAATTCTAGCCTATTTATTTCCTATCGGAAAGGGAGGAATGGATCGGCAGCTGGGTTTTGTGCAAACTCCTGCACAAGCCGGAGGCTGAATGAACATCAGAAAGTGCATCCAGGCAGAGCAATCTACTAGCACTGCAGATATCGACCTACAGTTGTGCAGGATTTTGGCTCTGTTTCTCCACTGAAAAGAAGCTTGTGCAGGATTTTTGCCTTCCTTGAGCAGCTGACATAAATCAGTTCAAAAAGACAGCTCCTGCCCATGGGCCTACTCTCTGAAAGGACACAACACAAAAGGAAAATAAGATGGGGAGAACAGGGAGGAGGGAGAAACGTGTCGTTTTCCAGTCCGGAATGGCCGTGCTTCCCTTCCCGTTTCCATCTGCTGCAGCTTGCTAAAACTACCCAACACGGATGCGGCAACCAAACACCGAAGCCCTCCCAGCCATTTGTGCAATTGCTTTGTCAGGGGAGTTGGTCAGAAAAATAAGCAGAATCATGGATGTTCCATGCACTTTCGGTGGAGGTCCCAGAGCAGAGAGGAAGTAGGAAAAGTCGGTGGAAATAATGAGAAAGGACTGGCGCGTCCATCATAAAAGCAAAGTATTCCCTTTGCAGAGCTTTTGTTCTTGACTCAAGAGCAGTAATGTACAAAGTGTCTGAGGAAGCCATCCTGGTCAAGGCCCCTGTGGCCTATCTTCCCATTCGCCCTCCCTATGGGGCAGCACCAGCCAGGTTCACGTCTGCGGCTATGTCCCACCTAACCTGACAGCAGCCCACGGCTCTTCACCTGTTCAGTGGAAGAGCGTGGGATTCTTCTCTAAAGAAAACATCAATGTGCCATGCATGCCCCTTGTTTTTACATTTCCTTTTCCGCCACCCCACATCTCAATCTCAGCAATGAACATCTAGAGCAGGGGCGGCGCAACCATTACGCAAAGTAAGCATTCGCAGTATACCGTGAATGCTCTACGCCTAGTAGACATCAGGTGAAAGGTCCTAAAATTGGGAATTTCAAGGAGATTCTGATCGTCTGAACAGAGTGATCTCGGGGGTTGGTAGGGAGTGAGGCCAGGGGCGGCGCAACCATTACGCAAAGTAAGCATTCGCAGTATAGTTGATTTTGCCCAGGGGCACTCTTGAGGCACTCTTGGGGGAAAATAGACCTTGACATATGCGAGTTGTAGTTACTGGTAGTAAGATAATAAGTCTCGAAGAGCTCGTGTTTCCGCTGGCAAGGAATTCCACAGGTAAGGAACCACCACCGTGAATGCTCTACGCCTAGTAGACATCAGGTGAAAGGTCCTAAAATTGGGAATTTCAAGGAGATTCTGATCGTCTGAACGGAGTGATCTCGGGGGTTGGTAGGGAGTAAGGCCAGGGGCAGCTCAACCATTACGCAAAGTAAGCATTTGCGGTATACTTGATTTTGCCCAGGGGCACTCTTGGGGGGAAAATAGACCTTGACATATGCAAGTTGTAGTTACTGGTAGTAAGATAGTAAGTCTCGAAGAGCTCGTGTTTCCGCTGGTATGGCATTCCACAGGTAAGGAACCACCACCGTGAATGCTCTACGCCTAGTAGATATCAGGTGAAAGGTCCTAAAATTGGGAACTTCAAGGAGATTCTGATCGTCTGAACGGAGTGATCTCGGGGGT